TATCACGCCCAGAATCTGTCTCCTTTAAGCGTTTAATACAGGTCTTTTTTATTAACGTTAGTTTTCAAATAAATTGGTCGGTTTTTTGATAGAACAAACATTTTGATAGTAATTGTATCAAAATAATTACCGTTACAGAAATCGTCATATTAATCGATATCATTGTTCGTACCGGTTCGTACCGGTGTGTGCATAACTAAATGGGTAACTGTCATACTGGGTTCTTGTATGTATGTACGTACGTACGTACGTATCATTTATTTAACGGCTATGATTTTATTAGTAAAAACATTTCCTATTATTGCTAGTTGTTGATTTCTAATCAGAAAAGATTTCCAACGAGATAACTTGATATAGGGTATTTCATATTTCGATCTAGAGATGGTGTAACTTTATGAACCCACTTGACCACTATAATGAGTAGTGATTTGAATCATTTTTTTTTAAATACAACTGACAATTTAGTTTTCTAACTACTGTTAAGTTAACCGAGTTTTTACAAAAAAAAAAAAAAAGTATTATTTCATATTGAAATAACAATGGTAAAACTCCTTGAAAAACTTTCAAATGATTATCTTGAAATTCTTAATGATGAAGATTTTAATGTAATTATAAATACGAAAGAATCTTCAAGGACATTTCGTGCACATTCAATTATTTTAAAATATAGGTCTTTATATTTTCATAATGAATTAGCAAAAGTTAGTAATGAAAATGAAAATAATATTAAAACGATTAATTTAAAGCATATTTCAGCTCAATATTTTGAAATCATTATTAGGTGAGTTGCATAACATTTCCTTATAACATTCTTGTAAACGCAAAGAACTAATCTTAGGTTATTAATTAATTCAAATAAAGATATATTTATGGAGGAGTAATTCTACTGGAAAACCAAGAAGCATCGTTTATTTTTAACCTAATGCTTGTTGCTTCCGAACTTCTTTTTGAAGAATTGGCCAAATATCTTGAAAATTATTTGATTGAAGTAAAATCTAATTGGCTTCGCTTACACTTTACCCATATTTTTCAGCAAAGTTTCAAAAATAACCGCCAGAATTTACAAAACTGGTGTAACGATATTGCGGTAAAGCATCCTAATACGATTTTTAATTCTGAAGATTTCATATTACTTGAGGAAAATGCTTTGGTCACTCTTATTAAACGAGATGATTTACAAATGGAAGAAATAAAAATTTGGAATTATGTAATTAAATGGGGAATTGCCCAAAATCCAAGTTTACAATCTAGTGGAACCGAAAATTGGACTAGTGAAAATTTTCTAACTTTAAAGAATACGATACGAAATTGTTTACCTCATATTCGATATTTCCAAATCTCTGGCGATGACTTTGTCGATAATATCGAACCGTTTCAAACAATACTTCCGAGGGAACTTTGGAAGGACTTATTAAAAAGGGCCGTGAATCCAGACCGACCAATATTATCAACCATGCATCCTCCTCGTATAGTTTTGATACCTCAATTGCCATCACGAGCAACAGAACCATTTTCAGCAGTTATTAGTGATGAACATGCGGCGGAAATTGCGTCATGGGTAGATAATAAAACTAACGCGTACGCGTACTCAGTAATAGACAATCCATATGAGTTTAAGTTACTTCTTCGCGGAACAAGAAATGGATTTACTAAAAAATCATTTTGGCGATTGTGTGATAAGAAGGCAAATACTATTGTCGTCATGAAAGTTAAAAATACAGGAGAAATTCTTGGTGGATATAATCCTATGACATGGGATAAATCCATTAATAATTGGATATATTGTAATGGTAGCTTTATTTTTTCATTGAAAAATGGCACCACTCAATCTTCAGTTTTAAGTCGCGTAGAAGAACCCGAGTATGCAATTTTTTGTGATTCTAGTTGTGGCCCATTGTTTGGTGATGGATCTGATCTTTTCATGGGAAATAATTTTGACCAAAACAATGATTGTCATTGTAAACATTTCTCATATGAAAAGCCCATTAGGAATACTAGTGGGAAATCATATTTCTCAGTGTCTGAATATGAAGTATTTCAAATCAACAGAAAGGCCTAAGACAATTTATTTGGTTTTTTTTTTACAAATTCTTTTTTTTAATACTATATACATCTTTCTCGTCATTTGCGCGTCTCTTGCACATACCTGATAACATAATAATGATTCAGTATACCCACAATTTTATTTATGTTGTTAATTATGTCGTCATTATGTCGAGACTTTGGGAACAATATTATGAAAAACACTAATATATTACTATATATTTTAATATGTACTTTTTAAATCTAAATTGTACGTAGTAAATAGTTTAGTTACAAAATATTATTGCTATTAGTAAAATTATTGGCTTTTTAATATACTCGCTATTAATAAAATTTTGTATAAAAAACTTTAAAATAATATAAAAGTTTATATATATCAGATACATGTATATAAGTAGTGATACAAATCGAAAATCGAATTAATCGATTAGTTGTAAAGTTGACAACTAATCGATTTGAATTTTACAGACCCAACTTAATCGATTAATCGATTGGCCAACTAATCGATTAATCGATTAATCGATTGGTCAATTGATTGACTAGTCGATTGATAAGAATATCAACCGGTTGTTCAGTTGCTACCTTACTATTACGTGAAAACCGATTAATCGATTAGTTGGATAAAATGATCATCAACTAATCGATTGAAAAATTTTCATCGATTTGTATCACTATACTATATATAGGCGCCAATTTTGGGTGCTTATATAATCAATTTTGATTGGCTAATTTTTGTATAATTGGTTAATTAAATATATATATGTTTTTTTTAGATTAAACGCCAATTTTTTGGACTCAACTTTTTTAAAACAAAAAATTAAATCCCCTGACAGAAATGTAGTTTAGCTAAAAATCTATCAATTTGTCAGAGGGATTTTTGATGTAGCTTGTTTTAAAAAAAGTTATACCACTTTAAAGTTTTTATTAATAAATATTTTGATGCGTGTTACTGTCCTGTATTGTACAAATCTGATTTTTAAATATGTCGTATCTATGATCATATATATTATATGGGTTTGGTGCTGAGAAAAATAATATTCACAAAAAATTAATTATCTCGTGAACTATTGATCATAATTATATAATTTGGTACCATTAGATCCATCTCAATTCTCAATAAGTGGTACCAAGATCATATAATTCTAATTAATATAATAGTTCACGAGATAATTAATTTTTGTAAATATTATTTTCTCAGCATCAAGCCATATACAGTTAATAAATTTAAATTGTTTTTGAACAAAATCCTATATTCAAAATTAAAAAAAATCCCCATACTTCTTGTTTCAAAAAATTCTATTGAAAATTGAAAATTTACTTAAGCTACAATTTGAATATGAACTTTGATTAGATATATATATATCAAGTAAATATATATATACTGTATATATATCATAATTTAGTAATTGAATTAACTATTTTGACAAATTATTTGCTCGAATCGTTTTATTACATTATTTATGCTCGTGAAACAAAATGATACAGAGAATTTTTATACAGTATAATAGTTTTAAATTTATTTCTTGCCCATTTCAAGTACTTATCTTTCTTTTAGTGAAGTTAAAATTTCTTAAATGAGAAAATTTATTAAAAAACACATTAAGCTGCATTTTAAATTTAAACCAGTGACGTAATTATTTGTAGGTTCGTGCCTATGATTTCGCGGTTTACCAACATTAATTATATAAACTTGGTAAATGCAGTACAATCTAACCTTTAAAATCACAGCATCAAATCGATAAGACTTTTAAAGAATGTGCTTATAATGACTGTATTTATATAGAATTTTAAATTTATATGATTACAGTAACTGGTTTTAAAAACGGCGTGCATATGTTTAAGTAGGATATTTATATAAATCTACACTCTAACCTTAAAATCCTAAGAAATTCCCACTTACAACACAGGTGAAGAGAATTTTTATACGATGCGTTTTATAGAAAGGAAACTAAAAATAGATTATGTTAATATATTATTAATATATAATATGAAATTCACAAGTTATAACTTTGGGCCAAAATTATCGTTAATATTAATGTATTAAATATAGTTACATTAATATGTGATTATAAAAATTATGTTACATAATTTTAATCTTTACTTGAAGTCATGAAAGTGGACACCAAATCGATAGATACTGTTGAATACGTAGCTTAGTAAAATTTTACCTCGTGATCACCTCATGATCACTATCAACTTGATCATCTAATTCATTCAATCACAAATTTTCATCATCGTAAACATTGATCATCATCATCATCATAATTGGAAACTCGCTAGATCAATCGTATTATCGTGGATTGTAAGGAAAAATGAAATTTAAAAAATGGTCATAAGATTGGAAAGAACATTTAAATTGATTTTTTAAATTGTCTTTGAGATCAATAATCTAAAAAAAAAATTTATCAGATTTCGAGCAATTAGAATAATCCAACATTAGGCGATATTAAGCGACGAAAAGACGGCACAGGAAATAGAGCAAAAAGATGCACCTACTCATGATTATATAAAAATAATTTAAGAAAACAAGGTAAGGGTTGATCCCTTTATTTATACCATACTGTACTGTAAATCATTTTGATATAAAAAAAAAAATCAGAATACAATCAAATTACTGTATCAAATTAATCATCAAATTAACAAGACGAAAAATTTAAACGCCCTATTTAAAGCCCATTCAAATTTACCATTTGAACATTGCGGTAACATCCTTTAGAATTCTAGAAATATAGTAAAGGTACTAAACGTAACATTTAGCACAGGAAATCTTTCATCCTTTGGCAAAAATCCGCAACAAAATTCCTAAACCCTCACCCTTTATATTTCCCTTTACATTTCCCTTTACATTCTTTACATTTAATATTCAATCTTGTAAAAAGATCAACGTATTGTTTCTACAGTGTAAAATTATCCCATCTCATTCATCTCATCCATCTTCTCATTCATACGAATAGATGTTATTTTGATTCATGAACATCAGTACTTTCATAACTCCAATCATAGTCCTTAAAATAATAATCAATGTCACCCAAGTCTAAGTCTGAATAATCATCCGATATATCCGAATCGGTATCTTCGTCTTGGGAACAGTTGCACTGAGGAGGTACCACAGAACACGAAGGTGTTGGTGGTTCGTTTACCACAGAAAAGAATACGAATGCTGCGGCAGCGAGTAAAAGTGTTGCTGAGAGAAAACTCATTGTCTTATTTTGCCCCTTCCTTAAGTAAGACAAAAAAAATAAACTCGAAAAAAAACCGTGTCGTCTGTGGACTGCTTGATTTATTAATTTTTGATTCTTGATGAGTTTGACCTTAAAAAAGGATCAATAGTTAGCATAGGATAATTACATGAATATTAATAAGAATAATAATAAAAAAAAAAACGGTTACTAACTCCTAATTAGAATTTGTTCCAGGTCGGAAAAAAAGTAAAACGAGTGAGAGTTGTTTTTTTTCGGAATAAATAATGAAACCTAACGGCGATCATTAAATTATATGTGGTATTTATGAGAATCGAGTTATCATAAGCTCTTGAATCATTTGTCGAATCAATACGAATTTAGAAATTATTAATGTGTTTTACATAATTTTTGACGTAGCCCTTTTTTTCCGAAGTCAGACAAACAATTACTTTGATGGGCCTGGCACAAAAATTTTAAAAGTTTATGTACCAATTACATTTCGATATACGGTACAGTACATACTCTTTAAAATGTGTTCAATTCATTTCCTTTAACAGATTTACCTTGCAGGTAGCCTTTTCGAATATTTTTAACCGTAATACCGATACTCGTAATACTGTAATACTGTATATGGATATCAGTTATTACTCACGCACATATGTATGTACTTAAGTACAATGACGAATAAGACATCTATATACTTACGCACATACTCACGTACTGCGTACTGTAATAAATTACATGTGAAGGTAACAAGAATGAAAAATGTATTAACCAAAGAAAGATTCTATTTATTTTAATTTGGCAATTTATTTCTGTTCTACTTATGGTACGCGACTAGTTATATTAGCATAGATTGTTCATATAGCCTGATTAGCATGAAGAAAACAGGAGTGTATGGTTACTTGCAACTTGGTCATCTGGTTTATGCGCAGGTAGCTTGGTTAAATCATATGATTTCTCCTATGATCGCACCTGTTAACTTTAATACCTTGTCGCCTAACTTTTGGGTTCTTCTTTTCATTGCCATTACGTAATCGGTTATCGCTTAACAATAATTAACAATGATGTCAATGAATGATACTCCAGATTTTCGTAATAATAACTTATTTATATTGGTTTAGTTTCCCATTTTTAATATTTTTATTCGAATCTGCTTCTGCGCATCTTTAATATAAAATTTAATATTGGAAATGAAAGTCTTTACTATTTATATATTTTGAGATTTCCTTGACGCAGCTGCATGTCCCTCTTTAGCAAATACAAATTTTTATTGTATGAAAAATTTTAAATATTCATAATACTTTAAATCACTGCCTTTGCCGCTAATCTTCATGTGAAATAATATTCTTGTTCTTATCCTTGTTACTCTCTTCTATAATACTCATATATTCAGCCAAATCCGTCCAATAATCACCTTCGTTTCCTTCGTCTAGTGTGGAATTATCACTTTCGTCTCGTGTGGAATTATTTTCATCCTGGTCGTCAAAATCTTCTTTGCATTCTTCATTTTCATTTGAACGAGGTTTTTTTTGAAAAGGTGATGTTAAATTCTCTACGATAATATTAATGAACATGCCGAGAGAAAAGACTGTTACTGCTGCGATTGCCCAAGCTCCCATTGTTTTTATATCACAATCGCAAAAATGTCTAAAATTTTTGTGATCTTGAATTTAAATGATCAAAATTTCCAAAATTTTAACGTTAACGTTTAAATGGATTATTTATACGTAATCCAAAAAAAAAAAAAAAAAAAAAAGTTTATTAAATTAATATTTATCAAGCTAATTATGAAGTAAAAGTCGGAGTCACTACTGATGACCACTCTCCAACCAATCAAATTTATCAAAAAAAAAGGTCTAGCCCTCAATTTTTTTTTTAATAAGCGTTCGAATCTTTTACCCAACTTTGTGTAAAAAGTTTATCACCGCTTATTTCTAATACGTAACCATTTTTAATTTTTGCCAAACCTATTACCTACTCAAATACTTATGATAAAAATTTTATGTTTAATCCTAAAAAGATAAGTCGGTAAGTAAAAAAAAAAATTCAAGTTTGATTATATTGTAAGAATTAATGAATTTGTAACCGTAACTAAGATCAGGTATAACGTGACTATCAAACCAAACTTTTTTATAAAAATAAAATCCTTCCTTCGATTAAGTTTAGGGTTAGAGTAAAGCCGGGTTGGGAAAGGGTAAAATTTTGAGTTATCGATCTTGAAATTCGATTGGCTTATAGGATGTGGTTACAGTAACCGCGGTTACAAATTTTTAATCCATATTAATATTGTAAAAGTAATTAGTTTTACTTTTTTTATTTTTTTAATTATATTACGGGTTTAAGGGCTGTGTTTGGAATTTTCTTAATTGCTTTTTGTATTTTTTTTTTAAAAAAAGAATTTTAGTATTAAACTTTAAACTATTATTGGACAGTATTTATTGTATAACCACTTAAGTGTAGCAAAATACCTCTTAATTTTCTATTTATAAACTAATTTAAGTTTAACTACCATTAGTTTTAAAAAAGAAAAGAAAAGGCCCAAAATTAAAGTATAAAATTAATAAAAACATAAGTAGATAAAAAAGTTTTGATTATACCATTTTTGAATAAATACTATAGGTCAATATTGTAGTTGTAAATTGTTGTTGTAAGGTTTCTAAAAATTATATTCAAAAGAAAAAATTTAGTTTGTTTAAATTTAGGTGTAATATTTCTTGAAGTTTTTCAATCATGTTAAAATTGGTTTCTAGTTTGTCAAATATTAGAGTTAAACCAAAAAAGAAGATTATTAGATTAGCTAAGACAAAAGCTAACAGTGTTTTTAGTATAGTTGATTTGTAATGCAATAGAAAAAGTTTTTTATATAAAAAAAGAAGGTTATGAAAAAATGTATTGTAAGTATTTGCATTAAGTAAAATGTTTGTAATTGTTAAGGGTTTTATATTTTTAATTTTAAGATTAGTTATTGTTTAGATTATATGGGGCATGTCAAACCAAAACATGGCTTATGGCATTTTTGCAAAAATGAGTTAACCATACTGTTGTATAAAGTAGGCACTCTTCTAGGTAATTTGATATTTAAAATATTGATTTACTTAATAAAATTTTTTTCAATGCTTTCTTTTTTAAATCTCGTATATGGTTAGCCGTGATCTAAAATTAGAATTTAGAAATCCAATTGTCAATTCTTGCTGCAGTGTCATAGAAATGCATCTGTGTAATTAGCTAATTGATGTCGATCCAACAGATTATACTAATAATAGATCATCATTGTTATTGTTACATGAAATTTTAAATGTGATTTTCTCAAAATTTAAAAAAAGCCATAAGCCGTGTTTTGGTTTAATATGCCCTATATATTGGTTAAGTATTTAATTTAGATCAAAAAGTGCTTGATGGCAGTATAGTAAATATAAAATATCTTTGAATTGATTACATCTAATACAGTTAGAAGTTAAATAGAAATAAAAATATTAAAAATGAAGGTTAAATATAGTGAGTAAATTGTTTAGTAATATTTTGATATATAAAGTATATAGATTAGGTTTATAATTATAAGAATTTGTGATAATTATAAAGATTTTAATATTAAATTAAGAAATATTACAGATGTTTTTGAATTAAAAAAAATTATTAAAGGTTTTGATAAAAATTAGATTTTTAAAAAATTTATAAGTTTGTGAAGTAAGTAAAATATTATACTATAAAAAAATTATAAGATAATCTAAATTAAGTTTAATAGTTTGTTTGTTTGTAACTCTTTTTGCAAGAATATCTGCATTTTGATTTAAAGTATTTTTAGAGTGTACTTTAACTTTGTGTATAGTAAGAAAAATAATTTTCTTTTAAAGAAAATTATTAATAATATATAAATAGTCTTAGTTTTCAACTTTAATTTATATAAAGTAGTAGTAAGATAGGTTTTAAGAGTTTGAATTGTAGAGAAGTTACCACAGTAAATATATATATAGGTTTGGTAATAAAAAGAGAAATATAAATATCAGTTACATAATTTGTTACACAATTATATACAGTATTTATACAGTATTTATATATATTAACTTATAGCAAAAATATATAGAATATATATAAATTTTGTTGTAATAATATTTTTTTCTTTACATATTAATATTAAATTAAATTTTATGAATAAAATGAAAATAAAATATATTTTAATAGACAATTCATCTGTCATTTAGAAAGGATCTGCAAATTTTATACTATTGAGCCAAATGTGAAAATATGATATTTAAAATCTTTTTTACTAAATAAATTACTCTTGGGCTTATAACAAAAGTTGTAAAGCATATCAAGATACATCTAATAATAGTAAAAATATTAAAAATCTTTAAAAATGTTTATATTAATAAAGTATTTTTAAAGATTTCTCAAAAACTATCAAGCCAATTTTAATATTCTTATTACTATTAAATGCATCTTGATAAGCTCTATAATTTTTTTTTTTTTTAATATTAATAGTGAGCTATGCCTCTATCTTTATTGAATATTTAATTGAGATTATTACATAAAGTACTAATCTACTTTTAAAATATTATAAGAAGAATAGAAGCTCAAACTAGTTTATCTGTAATCTAAACCAACTGGAGTGGCCAAGGCTCACCTAGATTTGGATATTAGTAATAATATAAGAAAGGTTAGATTGGTATTTGATCTAATGTATATATCAAGAATTTATCTTGGAGCTAATAGTAGTAAAAGGAAGGGGTTGAGATATATACGAAAAAGCATTAGAAGATAAATTATCAGTAGAAGAATAAACTATTGATCTTAAAATATAGTAAAGAATCCAGATTTTATAATAAACTTGTTAATTAAGATGAAGTAGAAATTTTATAATAAGTGTTGTAGCTATTTTTTAGGTTGATAAGATTGAAATAAAGGTGATAATTTCATTTGGTACTAGGCCTAATAGAGTTGAGAAGACTGAAGGTGTATCTGGTATACTGTGTATAGTCATACAGTCTAATTGCTTGATCTGATTGTATAAGTTGGTTATAATATTATGAGTAGTATCGAGTATAGTTGTGTTAAGAGTATGTTGTAATGAATCATCTATAAGCTTGTATAGTAGCTGATCAGATAAACAAGTTATCCAATGAAGATAAGAGCTGATCTAATGACATTAATGACAATTAGGTAAATATAAATAATATCGTTTGTATAGAATATGTGGAGAAGAAAGGTCATCTAATAAAATTTTAATTTTAAAAGATTTAAGAGCAAAAGATTGAAAACTGTGTGAAAAGTTGGAAATTTTTTGATTGTTATTACAGGTTTCGCATACCAAGTTCGTACAAACTGACAATCAAATTTGTACATATAGTTAAATTAATACTCTGATTAAATAGTGATATTTCATAATCTAGTAACTATAAATATGTGATTTGGTACTGTTATATTCGTCTTGACAAGATAAACCTAATAGTATCGAAATTATGTAAGTATAATTGCTAGATTATGAGATATCACTATTAAATCATAGTATTAATTTAACTATATGTACAAATTTGATTGTCAGTTTGTACGAACTTGGTATGCGAAACCTGTAATATTTTTTTAAAGCCACACGATCTTAAAAAATAATTAGCAGATTTTAGCAGGTTTTAAATGATTTAGTTTTTTTTTATTAAACCTAAAATAAAGTTTCAAATTACTGCTATTTTTGGTGCAACTCGGTCATTGTGAAGATCTTACAAATAGGACTAAATAGCAAGCGAACAATACTAAATGCATAACGGATATACGTATAATTGCATAATGACTGAAACAGTATATCAGCAAATTAGTATGATGAACAAATAATAAATTATAAAAAGTCTCGAAATTTGCGCACACATTTTCATAATTATCAGAAAAATTCAACAGCAATGACAGAAATTAATACTATCAAAACTTCAAAAGACAATAAAACTCTCTGGTATGAACCATTTTTAGATCGCGGTCTTATTCCTGATTTTATTATGCGTCTTGGTGTGAGAAGTTTGTTACAAGTTAGATTGAGAGAAATTGATCTTGGTGATGTACAAGAGAATAAACACAGAAAGAAAGCATACATTGATCAATTAAAAGAAAGACCTATCGCTGAGCACACAAGTAAAGCTAACGAACAACATTATGAAGTATATCAATCATTTTTCACCATATTTTGTGAAGCTGAGCAGTAATAATATAATAAGTAACATTACTGTCTTTAAAAAACTATATTCTGCTTAATTACTCAAAGGTTTCTACAGAATTCATGCAAACATGCTTGGGCAAACGAATGAAATATTCATGTTGTCTTTTTCCAAATGGTAATGCTCATCAATATTTTCTTTATTTTCATAACGACA